AGAACCCCAGGGCCTAGGTTCCGACGCCAGCAAATGCCATCTGCCAAGGAAGACCCGGGGCACGTTCCCGCACCCGTCTGTGGCTCAATTCCCTCCTCTTCACCGGGGAGGGGGGCGGGGGGGAACGATGGAAGCACCGATGAGCCGGTCACCACCCGCCAGGCACAGGGCCAGCCACCGGCCAGTGAGCGACCCTCCGCCTGCCAGAGCCGCTGACTCCCGAGTCGGAGCGGCGGGGAAGGCCCGACCCACGCCCGCCACTGCGACGCCGGCTCCCGGCGGTGGGGAGACTAGGCGCGGGCCGGGGCTCTCCCGGCGGACGGGCCTCACCTGACGGGCGGCCGCCGGCCCGGCCCCGTTCAACAGCGGCGTGCTCTCGCCGGCCGGCGCCCCGGGCCGCGCCGTCCTCCGCAGCAGAGGCGCCGCCTCGTCGTCGTCCAGGTCGCGGCCGGACCACGACACCTTCTTGGACACGTTGGCCATGGCCCGCGGAGGACCGACTGGCCGGAGAAGCGCGGCGGCCGGGTGTTTGTTCTCGTGACCCGCGCCGCGGCCACGTGACCCACGAGACCGGACCACGTGACGCGCGGCGGCCGCGCAGGGTCGTGCGCGCGGGGGGCCTTCTGGGAGTTGTAGTCCCGCTTCTGGCGCCCTCTGGGCGGAAGGGGCTCTGCGGCCACTCGGGTGACCAGCGGGGACCCGGTCCCCGAGAACGGATCGCGGCAGGAACGGAGAATGGAGCCGGGTTCCGCGCGGACGGGACAGGAGGACGGGGGAGGAAGGCGGGCAGGCAGCCCCTCCTGGAGCAGGTGGAGACCGACCAATCGGCGCGGGAGGAAGGACGGGTGGACACCTGGCAGCCTGGCCGCCGCGGGAGAAATGACCGGTCGCAGGCGCGTGCTCCGCCGTCCGGGCAGGTCTCCTGCGCCCGGGCCTGTGCGCGGTTTCGGTATCTCCCGGCGGGTTACCGATAACGAGGAAAGGGAAGGAATCTTGGAAGTCAGGTGGATGCCCCTGGAGCCCAGGACAGGCTGAGCACCGCCCGGCCTCCCGGGGCTTGTGCCGAGGAGGACACACGGCTCCTGGGGCATTGCTGCAGAAGCTGCTTCGCCGAGTGCCCTCATCAGGGGGGGAATCACACACGCACCCAAACTGAGGGACATCGGCTAAACCGCGAGGCGCTCTGTTCGGCCACGAAGGGCCGGGACTACCCTCTGGGATGGGATTGAAGAGACAGGACGGCTGAAGGCTCCTGGCGGCTCTGGCCTTGCTGGGACAACTGGCAAAGCTTGGGCATGCACTGGGCTGGGTGGTGGGATTGCTGGGTTCCCCGCCCAAGGCTGAGCATTGTCCTGGGGTCACCGCAGGAAAGGTCCTTGTTCTCAGGAGACACGGGGTGCATGCAGGTGGATGGGCTGCGAGGTGTGTAGTTGCCTCATCGTGGGGGCAGGGAGCCAGCGACAGAGGGGAGCAGATGTGGCCCAAGGCCAACGCGGTCAGTCTAGGCCCAACGTGAATGACCTGCAATGTGTTCGTCTTGCAACTTCTATTTTTTGGTTGGGAAACTTTTCAAAAGGAAAAGATTTACAAAGTGTTTTAGAGGCTCTGAGGCTGAGAAGTTAACAGAGCCCCTCCCTTCACACAACTCAAAATCAGAACTAAAACTAAAATAAGAGAAGTTGGACAGGGTTTTCAGTTTTCCCCACAATGACTGTGCAGCGCTCTTTTGGGAATTCTAAGAACAACGTGCTTTCAAAAAAGGGTGTTTTCTCGTTCGTGTCATCTGCCTTTGCCCTTTCGAGTAATGGACCAGAGCAGCGTGATGGCCCCTGGGTTGTGGCCCGGCGCACAGGCGTGAAGCACAGGCAGGGCTGGGGTTGGGGCTGGGTGTGTGTAGACTGAGCAGACTGGATAATGGGGTTCCTGTGAAGACATCCAGGGGTAGAGAAGTGAGGGCAGTCCGTGGGTCCTGCTGGAGGTCAGGAGGCATCTCTGTGGCCCAGCAGGACAATGCTGTCAGACAGATGAGGTGCCTGATTGTACTTGTGCTGGACCAGTGGCCCTTCTGGAGGACAAGCAGGCAGGGCAGGGAAGGGAGAAACCAGCCCCAGCTTCTTGCCAGGCCCCGGTCCCCATAGCATGAGAAGGGCTCCTCTGGGTCATGTTGTCCTTACCCAGAAACACGACAGACTCGGGTCATAGGTGGGGTTTGAGGGATTGCAGGTGGCTCATGCTTCAGAATGCATCGCGGGGGGGGGGGCTTTGTCACTGACCCCATGGGGATGGCCGATCACATGAGATTCGTGTTCAGACTGTCCTGCTTCAAACCCTGCATGGCTTCCCTTGTCCTGCTGGACAGAGCTCAGACCAAATTCTTAGTGACCAGAGCCCTCCTGAAGCTGTCTCAGCCCTGACTCCAAGCCCTTCCCCAGGCCACTCTGCCCTCCTGGAATCCCACTGCCCACAAAGCTTCCCGAATGTGGATGTGGCCGCCCGCGGTGATGCTGTCTTCTCTGCCCTCTTCCTGTGGTGTTAGGGTCTGTGGACTTGTAGGGGATTGCTGCTATGAATGGTGGGCCATCCTGGGTCCCCTAGGCATTAGAAGCTCAAAAAAGGGGAGGGGCCAGAGATAATACCCTGTGTGGTCTTTCTATGCTGGGGACCTGCTGTCGCTGAAGAAATAGTAGTCAGATTATCAGTCTCCCCTAAAGCAGCACATCATCCCTCCCTCCTCATGGAGAGGGGACTGAGCAAGAGCCCCCGAAAAAGCCCCAGGGGCCCAGGAAGGAAGAGCCCAAGAAGGAGCCGCTGTCCCTGAAGGTGCACATGCCCTGGGGAAGTATAAGGAGAAGTAGAAGTCAGTGACTCAGGGAGCATCTGTGTGGCCACTCGGGGATTTCGGTTCTAGAATGTCTCCTCTGACCTTGACTCCTGGGGAAAGCAGCCACGCTGAGTCTGTGGGCAGAAGGCCCTGGATTGCTGGGGTCACAGTGCTACAGAGATGAGAATGCCCTAAAAGGTGGAGGCAGTCATTTAGAGTACTCCCCCACCCCCCACTCCTGGGGCAGCTGCAGGATGAAACCAGGGCCCCTCGCGGAGGCCGGGTGGTGCGGGCTGGTGAGGGCTGGTGAGGGCATGGGGCTTCTCCAGCTTGTGTTCCCACTTTTAAAGTGGGGGGAGGGGCTCCTGGAGGGCTCAGGTGGTTGAGGGTCCCTTCTGACCTTTGATTTCAGCTCAGGTCACGGTCTCAGGGTCAGGAGATTGAGTGCCCCCCCCAACCCATGGGGTGCTCTGCCGTGAGTCTGCTTGAGATTCTCTCTCTCCCTCTGCCCTTCCCCAAGCTCTCGTGCACATGCATTCTCTCTCTTGCTCTCTCTCAAATAAATACATAAAAAAATCTTTAAAAAATAAAGCAGGGGGAATTCTAAGAACTGAGCCTGTTTCCGAACTCAAGGATTCCTCACCTCTCCCACGCGTGGGACTCCCCCCCCAAAAAACCTCTCCTCCTGTCTTCCCAGACTCCCTCCTGATCATCTGTTTGGTTCCTCCTTGGGAATCCCGGATACGGTAGGGGTTCGTTTTCATCACACTGAAACTTAACGCCCCTCCTGTCTGTGCCTGTTCTTTTAGGGGCCACGGTTCAGAAGAGTAAAAATAAACGTCAGACAGATGACATCTAGCCTTGGCAAGAACACCAGAAGCGGGAGCGCGCGTGCTGGCGGGGCGTGGGAATAGAGAGGGCGGCAGCCGCTCTGGAAACTGGTTTGGGCATTTCTTTTAAAGTTTAGACATTGAGGGCGCCTGGGTGGCTCAGTTGGTTAAGCAACTGCCTTCAGCTCAGGTCATGATCATGGAGTCCCAGGATCGAGTCCCACATCGGGCTCCCTGCTCAGCAGGGAGTCTGCTTCTCCCTCTGACCCTCTTCCCTCTCGTGCTCTCTGTCTCTCATTCTCTCTCTCTCAAATAAATAAATAAAATCTTAAAAAAAAAAGCAAGTTCAGATGTGAGTTCACCGTGCGACCCAGAAATTCTATTCACAGGCACCTGCTCAAGGGAAACAGGAACCCATGTCTGTACAAGGACTCATATGAGAATGCTTGGGGCAGCTTTATTCACAGAAGCCAGAGACTGGAAGCGGATGAACAGATAGCAGCGTGGGGTGCATCCCGGCAGGATGGCGCCCCAGCGCCCAGAGGACGGGGGCCCTGGTGTGCGGGCACGTCCGTGGGGCTGGGGAGCGTGCCGCTCGGCAACAGAAGTGGACTCGAGACCCCGCAGCATGTGATTCTCGTAGGTGGAATGTCCAATGTCCAGAATGGGCCAATCCGCCCAGAGAGCCGGTCAGGGGTTGCCGGAGCTGGGAGGACAGGAGCAACCGCTAACGGGCATGATTTGGGGGGGCAGAGACATGGAAACACCCTAAAACTGGACTGTGGTGATGGTTGCACAGCTGGGTAAATTCGCTATCTTTGCACTGGACATGCATCGCGGATGAGCGTTGTAACACCTGCTCCGATAAAACCCCAACAAGGTTACTTTGAAAGCGGTGCCATGGATTGCTCGTGTTTGTTTCTGAATAGCTTGCTCCCTTCACCGGCTCTGGCACCGCTAGAGCTTCAGGGCAGGAAATGGGTTCCTGGTCCTTTTCATGAGGGATATGGGAACAAAGACCACCCAGATGGACACTTTCTAATCCACCTCAAGAGAGGGCCATGAGAATTCAAATGCACCCACCCAGGTTCCATGAAAACGGGGTTCTCCATCGGCAAACCCAGCCCAGACGAGAGGCCGCACCGGAGTCCTGTGCTCGCCGGGCTGGAACAGTGTCACAGCCCACAGGGCCTCCCACAGCCCCACTCCACTTGTTGGCCCGCTCCCTCCCTCCCACATTGCCCTGTCCCCTCCCCAGTGTGGGAGGGGGCCCTGGACAGGGGCGTGCTGGGGTCAGTGGTGGCCGAGTGCTGCTGAGGCTGTTCCTGTCAGGCTCAGGGCACGGGACCTCAGGGACAGAGCTCCAGGCAGCTGCAGTTCACCCTCTGCACGAATCAGCCTCCCCACTGGGCATTGTCCAGCATCAGGATGGCGCCCCCCGGGACCTCCCTCCCAGTGGCCAGTTTTGCGACCTCCCCTGGGACCAGCGCCCGGTCCCAAATGGCCAGGCCTGCCATGCTGCCCACGAAAGCCTCAGAGCTGTCAAACCCGCCCCGCATGCTGTCCTGCTCCTGGCCCAGCATGAGGGACCCTCCTGCAGGGATCTCATAGCCCTCCCTGAAGTGGGAGCCGGTGGCCATGAGGCTGCGGTCCACGTACAGCCAGTACCGGCCCAGGGTGAACGTCCAGATGACACAAACATGGTGCCACTGGCCGTCCAGCAGTGGCTGCAGGGGCAGCTCCCTGAAGGCCAGGTCTCCCATCACGAAGTGGATGGAGCCCGGGGCCAGGGAGTCGCTGCCATGCAGCACAAGCTTGTTGTCATTCTCCTCCATGGTGTAGGAGAGCAGGGTGCCCAGGCGGCCCGAGGCTGTGCGCACCCAGCTGCAGACGGACAGGGCTCGCAGGCCTGATGGGAAGCCGGGGCTGAGGAAGGCGATGTTCTGGGTGGAGGTGTTCGGGAAGACCAGCACAGGGCCCACGTCACAGGCTGGAAAGAGGGGGAGAGTCAGCCCCAGCACCAGGTGGCGGCAGGAGTGTCCACACCGCTCCCAGGCATGGGCTTCAGACCCCGTGGCTGAGCTGGGTCAGCACTAACTGTGAGGTTGGCCATGCAGGGTCCCATGGGTCCTTGCTGCACCATCAGCCCATCCTACAGGTGGGAAGACTGGGAGCCCACGCAGTCTTACACCTTGGTGGGAGTGAGCCTCTGTACATGCCCCACAGCAGCGGGACCCCCGGCGTGAGCCTCCCGGGGCTGCCGTCACGAAGCCCCACAAACTCAGAGGCTCCAAACAACACGAATCGAGTATCTTCCAGTTTTGGAGGTCAAAAGCCAGACCTGGGTCCCCTGATGAAAATCATGGTGGATGCAGGGCTGGTTCCTTCTGGAGGTCCCAGGGAGAATCCTTTCCTGCCCTGTCGGCTTCCAGAGATGCCCCCGCTCATGGATCGCGGCCCCGCCTGCATCTTCAAGGTACGTCCCTCTAACCTCCATCCCTGAACTCACAGCTGCCTCTCTGACCTTCCTGCCTCACCCCAGTGTTAATCCCAGCTCCCCTCCCGTCTCACAGTCTGTAATCACAGCCGGAAAGTCCCCTTGCTGCATGAGGTGCTGCATCCACAGGGCCCAGGGGTCAGGATGTGAATGTCTTTGGGGCCATGCCCCTTCAGGTCTGCCTGACAGAGGGGTCCATGGGGTGCGGTGAGGTCCAAGGTCCCAATCGGCAGGCTGGGGACCTACATCCCTAACCCGTCAGCCCACTGGACCCAAGGATGGAGGGCTCCCAGCCCCTCTCTTCCCCTCAGGGACCCCTGTCAGAATCTAGGGCCAGCACAGGAGACTCGTGCGGGCAATGGCTGGGGACATTGTATTATCCTGCCAGCCCTAATGAGAGAGGTCACCAAATGGGTGTGGGGGACCCCCCAGCAGCGCCCGATGTCTGTGCACACCCACCCCAGGGCGCCGGGGGGCCCGCAGACAGGCCATTACCTGCACAGCCCCCCTTTCTTCTGGGGGTGCACGGGGCTCTGAAGCCAGTGTCCTTTCCACACAGCTCAGGGGAGAAGGCTGCCCAGAGGGGACCAGAGGCCTGGGGAGGTGAGAGAGGGGAGAGGCAAGGCCCGTGGGGTAAGGGCAGGCTGTGGTACTTACTCTCTCCTGGTCTCTCGGGGGGCCAAGCCCACTGGCTGCCTGGGCCGGGGAGTGCCCGCATCCCCTGGAGACCACCGGCAGAGTCCTGAGGTGGGTCCCCAGTCTCAGGCGAAGGTCTGAGCACCTGCCTTCCCCTCTACAGCGTTGGGGAGCTGGGGCTCGGCAGCCCAGGCAGGGTTGGGGACCGGGCCAGGGTCAGCCCTGGGGGGCCATGGTGCCAGGGCAGGCCACCTGCCCCCGGCCCTCGAGAGCAGCCAGCCTGGCGCCCTGGCCCTGCATGAGGTGCGTGAGGCGAGCAAGCGTGTCCTGCAGGGGCCTCAGGTCCTGGGCCAGGCCAGAGAGGGTGCCCCTCTGCACCTGCGGCTCCTTCCCCTCCTGGGTGTGCTGCTTGCCCCTCTCACTCAGCATGGCACCCAAGGCCAGCAGCCTGGACTCCACCTTCCGGCTTCTGCGCTGGGTCTTCTGCATCCAGGTCTTGAGGTGGCTCAGATCGCCCTCTACAGCGGCCTGCGACCGGTTCACGGCCAGAGCCATAGCCTGTGTCTCGCGCGCCAGGCTCTGGAACCGAGCATCGATGCCATAAGACAGGTTGTAGTTACTGGCGAGGACACGCAGGTGTGTTAAGGTCACTTCTTGGAGCCTGTGGAACTAGAGAGAGACACAGAGGGCCTGGAGGATGCGGGACAAGCCTTCCCGCTCACGCTTCTGGGTGCCTGTCACGCACTGGCCACCATCCACACTGACTCGATCCCCAGGCGGCTGCGCGAGGGGTGGGCCCATGACCACACCCAGCCCCACAGTGGCCTCACTCGGAGACGCCCACTCTGTGGGGTGAGGGTTCAGGCCCCCATCTCCCCCACGACCCCCATGCCTCCCGTGCCTCCCGCGCCTCCCACACCGCACCCCTATGATGCTCAGGGTCCTGCCTGAGTGGACATAGGGCAGGGCGGGCTTCGTGAGTGGTTTGCGGGGATCAAAGCGGGCAGAGCCTGCAGAGAGCTCCCAAACCCATGCCCAGCACGCCCCAGCACCCCTCCGGCGGCCCTCTTGGGGCTTCCCACACCGCCTCCCAGCCCGACTCCCACCCTGTCCTCACTGTCAGTTGGCTTGACTTCCTAACAGAGCCCATCAGACCGTCTCTGCTGGTTGCCAACTGTAGGGGACAGTAGAGTCACTGACGGAAAGAACCCCGCACTGCATGTTTGCATCCCCAGAGCAGGGCTCTTACTGCTCTGTTTCTGTGTCGGCTGTCGAACTTAACACACAGCTGCCCCAGGTGCTGGCTACACTCACCTGCTCTTCCAGTCTGCGGAGCCTCTCGACAAATGGTTTCCTTTGCCCTGCAGGGCTGGCTCCCTGTGACAAAGCCCCATGCAGACAGATAGGCACAAAAATAAGGAGGAGAGACAGGGCCTTCCTCCACGGGGAGGCCATCCTGGGGACGCGGAGAGGGCTGTTGGCTTTGCGCTGCTTGCTCCCGCACAGCCCTCCCAGCTTTCCTTCTCCCACCCTGCCTGGGAGTCAGGTGCTTCCTGCCACCTTCACGGAAAGCATCTGCCCTCCAGTCAGTGAGCTCTGGAGAGCTGGAGGTTCCCAAGGACACAAGCTTAAAACAGATGCAAACAGTTTCTCTGGAAAATAATTCTGGGTTCGAGCCGCAGCCTGGCTGGCTCAGAGGCAGATGGTGATTGCTTTAGCAGGGGCACATGGACTCAGCTCCCACCTCAGGGAGCTGGATGGGGCTGGGCCAGGGCCAGGGAGCCCCTGGAGCCAAGTCGGCTGTGGGGCCCAGCGTGCCGGCCCTGCACAGAGGGGCCTGTGAGGCCCACCTCTCTCCCTCAGATAAGGCAAAGGAAATGGGGTTGGGGGCCACCTTAATTTGTTTTGGGGTATAGGTTGTATGGTAGGCTGAATGGTGGCCCCAAAATGGTAAGTCCAAGTCCTAACCCCGTGAATTTCCCTGTACCTATGATGTGAGTTTATTTGGAAAAAAGGCCCTTGCAGACGTCATTAAGGATCTCGAGAGGAGACCATGCTGATAGTTAGGGTGTCCTTACAAGAGACAGAAGAGACACAGGGGAGAAGGCCGTGGGAAGACAGAGGCAGAGACTGAGGTGACACGGGCACAGGGAGAGCCAGGAGCTGGACGAGGCAGGAGGGGTCCTCCCTGGAGCCTTGGGGACGAGCACCCAGAACATGCTGACCTTGGACCTGCATTGGCTACAGGTCACTGGTTGTGGCCTGGGGACACTGACTCCCTTCCTCCCCTTGGGGGCTCTCTCCTCAGTTCCCCCTGCTCTACCCTTGACCAGTCACTCTCCCAGGCCACACTGGATCCATGCATCCTGCTGCTGTCTCCCTCCCCTTGCACTCTCCTTGGCCCTGGGCTCCTTGACCTTTGTCCTTCTGCTGCCATTGAAGTGGCACCTGGGGGAGAGGAGCCATGCAGGGCTGTTTAACTGACTGGTTTTATCCTGCTCCCTCCCTGCATCATGGTCCCTGCAGCTGGTCCTTGGATGAGGTCCCCGCCTGCCCCACTTACTTAGACCATGGCTGGGTTGCCGTAACCAGTGACCCCCATGGGGGAGCTTAAAACAATAAGTTTATTCTCTTGCAGTTCTGGAGCCCAGTGTCCTAGGGCCCTGCTCCTTCCTCTCCTTCCCAAGGCTCTGAAAAAGCTTGCATTCACGTATGTGGGCTTAGGACTTGGACCCACTTTTTGGGAACCACCATTCAGCTTATTACAGAGAGGTTTGAGAGGCTGGGGCATGGCACAGGCTTGAGTAAAGGGACTCATGTGAGTCTGGATAGAGAGCTGCTGGGTCCCCAGGGCGTCCTTGACCTCCTGCAGCTGGTGAACACTCTGTTCATCAGCCCTGCCGCAGGATGTGGTCAGCTGGCTCTCTGGGCCCCCCCCTTCCCTGCGCCATGCGGGCGGCTGAACCCCTGCCATGTGACTGGCCTGAATTGAGATACACCACAGACATAATGCACAGTGGATTACAAAGCTTAGTACAAAAAAAGAATGTAAAATATCTCATTAATCATCATATATTGTACGGGACTACATGTCAAAATAGTAACATTCTGGATTGATAAGAGTTAAATAAAATATGTTATTGGGGTGCCTGGCTGGCTGAGTCAGTGGAGCATGCAACTCTTGATCTTGGGGTCATGAGTTCAAGTGCCATGTTGGGTGTGGAGGATGCTCAAAAAAAAAAAAAAACCATATATACATACAAAATTAAAATTAACTTTACCCACTTCTTTTTGCTTTTTTACTACCGCCACTAGAAAATTTAACATCACATATGGGGCTCACATCCTATTTTGATTGGACAACATTGCCCTAAAGAGAGACTGGGCATGTAGGTGTGTGCAGGTATGCAGAGACAAGTGACTTTCCCCGGTCTCCATCATCTGTTCTTTTTGAAAAAATAATTTTAGTGCAAATTATACATATAACAAAACTCACTTATTTTAAAGGTAACGCTAAAAGTGAGTTATTGAAATAAACGTCCACAGGGGAACCTGGCTGGCTCAGTTGGTATAGTGTGTGACTCCTGATTTCGGGGTCATGAGTTCAAGTCCCACACTGGCCATGGAGCCTACTTTAAATAAATAAACTAACTTAAGAAAAAGAAAGAGATGAGATAAATGTCTGCACATTGAATTGTGGGACTCTGAGGGTTCCGCCAGCTTCCAGAAAGGAGAAGCCCCAGGTAGGAGGTAGGAGAAGGGTGGGAGCTTCTTTAGCCTTGGGGAAAAACAAGAGCCTCCTGTCCCCCATCTGTCAAAACAAGTTCCCCTCATCCACATACAGAGCTTCTCACCCTTGACTGTCTCATGCTTAATATGAAGGCTAAGCTTAGGATCTCTAGACATGGGAGCCTCTGACAGAAATCTGCACAAACAGAGAAATGCAGAGAGACAAAGGAAAAGCTCTAAAGCATCTTAGTTCCTACTCCCAGAAAGACAAGAAAACCTTTGTGTCCGCAAGGCGAAAACATGGATGTTATGAGAAAAGGAAAAATCAACAAGGAAGAAGTTACTCTTGAAGGATGAAAACGAGGATTTTCCAAATAATTAAATCAGGAAAGCTGAAAGGCAAGGTTTAAGCAATTGCCCAGAAAGTAGGGCAAAAAGACAAAGAGATGAAAAAGAGAGAGAGAGAGAGAGAGAGAGAGAGAAAACATGGTCTTCGAGGTCAATCCAATGAAAAGCAAGTGCAGAGTCAGACTAAAAAAAACGGGAAGATAGTCTGGGAAGGTGCCACCGTCAAGGGCATCTGTCTGTCTCAAGACAGCGCACCAGAGAGGGCCAGGTGTCTCGTCAAGTGTCAGAACCCCATGGATGCGGAGAAGATTCTAGAAGTGTCCACGGAGGAAAAACCTGGTCAATGGGAAAGACTGAGACTCTCCTCAGAGAACTGAATGCTGGCTGCCAAAAACAGAGGAGCAAGCCTTCACATCTCCGAGTGAAAATAATTTCCAATGAAAATTGTCCGTCTAGCTCAAATGTGAACCTGCCTCGGGCAAAGAACAAAGACATTTTTCAGACACGTGAAGGCTTACGAGGCTTATCTTCCGTGCTTCAGGAAGCACCTAGTAGCCTAACAGGCTTGGGGGAAACACGGGGATCAAGGTCGATTGAAGTTGCTGTAGGAAGTGGAGAGCGAGGCTCTCATCCAGAAGCGGACTGGGAGGAGTTCCCGGAGTCCCAGGAAGGGGCATCCTCCTGGACTCCCCGCATCCTGTCCCAGCCCACATCCCTCGGGAGCATCCCAGGCCAGCCCTCCTCCTCGCTAGGCCCACGCCTGGGCTGCACCAGCCGCGCACTTGCGCTCCCTGCGCCCGCGGCTGCCCTCTACCGCCCGTTCTCCTGCCTGCACCCAGGACGGGAATTCCAAAACGAGACTCCTCAGCCTGCCTCATTTTTTTTTTTTTTGAAGATTTTTATGTATTTATTTGAGAGGGAGCGAGGGCGCGCGCACGCGCGAGCGGGGGGAGGGCAGAGGGAGACAAGAAGAGAACAGAGAATCTCCAGCTGCCTCCCGGCCGGCCAGCGCGAAACCCCACCCAGAGCCCTGTCCCACGACCCTGAGATCACGACCCCAGCCGAAATCAAGAGTCCCACGCTCAACCGACTGAGCCACGCAGGCGCCCACTGCCCAATTTTTCTTAACACTCTTTGCCATCGGACCTCTCGCGCCTGTGCTTCATTTGTGCCCCTGATTTGTGAGCCGGCACTTGATCGGCTTCATTCTCCGCACTGGAGGAGTGCTTGCTGTACGCAGCACGCATTTATTTTATTTTATTTTATTTTATTTTATTTTTTAAAAGATTAATCTATTTGACAGAGAGAGACACAGCGAGAGAGAGAACACAAGCAGGGGGAGTGGGAGAGGGAGAAGCTGGCTCTCCGTCGAGCAGGGAACCCGATGCGGAGCCCGATGCGGGGCTCGATCCCAGGACCCCGGGATCACGACCCGAGCCGAAGGCAGCCGCCCAACGATTGAGCCACCCAGGCGTCCCACGCAGCACGCATATAATTAGTGCATGCTGAGCTAATGCATGCTTCCCAGATTTCCCCACAAGGGCAGTCGAGGCGGAACCGGCACTTCCCTGAGGTCTTCCCAGATCACCCCCGACGCTGCCCACCGCACGTGCGCCAGGGTGAAGAGCAGCCCTTGGAAAGTGGCCAAGGAACTGGATTTCCGCCAATTTTCACGGCCACTTGCCTCTGACGACCCCGGCGTGGAACGCTGCGGCGCCTACCCCTGTCGGGCCCGCCCACTCCAGGGCCCCACCCACCCAGGGTCACGCCCCCCGCTCGGCGCAGGCGCAGATGTAGATGCGGCCGCTCGCCCCACGCCTCTTCCGGGTCCCGGGCTTCGCGGCAGATTCGTCGCGATCTGCCCGCGGGGACCGGCCCCACAGACTCGAGAAATTCAGCGGCAGCTCTGCCAGCGCGCGGGGAGCTCGTGCTCCGTGGTCTCATCTCTAGTCCGCGAACCGCGTGCGGAGCTGGGCCTCGGCGGCCGGGGCGAATCGGCGGAGGGGTGGTAGCGGCGGGGCCGCCCGTGAGCGCGCCGGGGAGACTCCGGGACCGAGCGGGTGCGCGCCTCCCCGAGACCCCCCACCCGTCGGTCCCCAGGCCCGTGCGCGCCCCGAGACCCTCTCCCGTCCCCAGACCTCCGCCCGTCCCGCAGACCCTCTCCCGTCTCCCGAGACTCCCGCTCGCCCCGAGACCCTCTCCCGTCCCCAGGCCTTCGCCCGCCCCGGAGACCCCCTCCCATCCCCCGAGGTCCCCTGCCCGCCCCACGAGGCCCCTGCCCGCCGCACCACCATGTGGACTCCCGGCGCACGCTGGGCAAGGAAGCGTGGGACGGGTTGGTCGCTGGCATGTTATCCGGCCTGCGCATCTGAGCCCGC